CCCCAGCTCTCCTGGAGCCCCTTTAGGCACTGGAAGGGGCTCTGAGGTCTCCCCTTTTTCGCCTTCTCTTCTCCAGGCTGAACCCCCCCAACTCTCCCAGCCTGTCCTCATAGGAGAGGTGTTCATACCTCCCAGTCCGTGCCGCCTGGCTCTCCCCTCGCCTCCCCTCCGAGCCAGCGTAAGGAAAGAGCAGGTGAAGGCAGTGAATTAGTCACCTTGGCAGAGGCGGGTAGTGACTCCCGCTGTGTCTTTCACAAGGACGTTGTCCTTCCATCGGTCAGCCCAGCTTCCCCCTGCACGTGGCAGCCCTGCCCCGACCTCTAGAGTCGCGCGATGGATGGATGGATGGATGGATGGATGGATGGATGGATGGATGGATGGATGGAGTGGCTTGTCCTTGGGGTGAGCTCCCCGTGGGTGACCGTGGCCCGGGCTGTCTCTCCCTCTGCAGACGCCTTCCCGCGCATTGTCCCGCTGAGGCCGATGGAGGCGATGCCCGGCCAGCCCACCCCGCACCTGCAGTGTCCGCTCTACCGCCCGGACTCCAGCAGCTTCGCCGCCAGCTTGCGAGAGCTGGAGAAGGTAACGGGGAGGGGGATGGTGGTGGCAGCCAGAAGGAAAAGACTGCGGGTCTAGGCTGGTTTTGGGGACCGATCCTCCCTTTTACAGAGCCGGGAGCATAAGATTAGGATAGGACTGAAAAGAAAACCCTGCTTTTTTCCTGCTGTGGTCTTTGAGTCTAGGGAAGTATTTTGTTGTGCGTGAGAGGGCTGTCGTAGTCTCATCTGCTCTTTTGCCACTTCTGGGTGGTGTGAGGGATGTGATGGTGCGCTCTCACCCAGGAGCAGCGAGTCCCAACCGTCCCTGTTCCTGGGTGGATACGACCAGACTCTTCCATTTTGCTATTTAAAGGGAATTAACAGCAAGAGCAAATCGTATTGTGTTGGGTTGCTGATAAAATCTTTCTTGGTAGCATCTGCTGATGTTCTCTCTGTCTCTCTTCCTAGTGCGGGTGGTACTGGGGACCGATGAACTGGGAGGACGCAGAGATGAAGCTGAAGGGGAAGCCAGATGGGTCCTTTCTGGTCCGAGACAGTTCTGACCCTCGGTACATCCTGAGCCTCAGCTTTCGGTCGCAGGGCATCACCCATCACACCAGGATGGAGCACTACAGAGGTAAGAGTCGCGGGGAGCTCTGGGGATGCTGGTGACAGTGGAGGTCTGTGGCTGGGGACCAGTCCGACCGCAAGGTCCCAAAGCGGTGTTGTGAGCACAGAGGTGGCAGAAGAGGGGGAGCAGCAGCGACGTGTCCTCGCTCTTGTGTTGAGGTCCTGCAAGAGGCCTCAGAAGCTGCGTTTGACTTTGCCCCTTGTGCCTCAAAGCAACAACTTTCCGTATAACTCTGGAAAAATGGGGGAATACGGGAGTTCCCTCTGCCTGTCCTCAGCAGGTGGAAAACGGGACTCGAAGCAAACGATGATGGCAAGGTCTCTGGGATCCCGCGTCGCTGAGACAGCAAGAGTCGCTGTTCGAAGCTGTCAGTGCTTCCCCAAATGAAGCTCGTTTCCCTGTGAAATGAGAAAGGATCTCTCGACGTGGCAGCTCGTCACCTTGCCGCCTTCTTCCGCTGTCCGAGGGATGCTCGGCACAGTGGTACCCGCTGCAGTCTGTCCCGGGCTGAGGCTTTAGCTCCGCCGCGGTGGGTTTTTATTCCGAGAACTCCTGGCACGCCGTCTGCGCCCTTCCAGTGTGGGCTGCTTCTCGCCTCGCCCACGCGCTTTGTCCACTCGTCTTCACGTGTGGTTTTCTGCCTTGAACGCTGGTACAGACGGCTGTCCTCGGGCCGAGAGAAATGCCGGAGATGCTCAACGCGTGGGGCGGGAGGAAGCTGCCCTGTAACCGGTGGGCAATGTCTAATAACAGCTGCCTGTAGAGCCTTGTCATTAAATGTGCCTCCAAATAATGGCTTCCCGGCCAACCTGCTGCAGAAAACAGTGGTTTGCAACCTTTCGGTCCAAGCTTGTCTTTTTTCTACCTTTTTGCCCTTGCCCCGGGGATGCCGCTGTTGTCTTCCTCCATCCCCGCTCGCGTTGCTGAGAATCCTGGTGGCAGTTCTGGGCTTGAGACCCCTGATGGGAAGATGCCCCGGCATTAATTCTAAACCCCGTCGGGAGCCGGTTCCTCTCTCTCCCTGACCCTTGTGTGAGAAAGAAGGATTTTCATCACCCTGTCCTTATAGAAACGACAAGAAGCTCTTGCAGCTGGAGGAGACGGGAGGCTGCCTGTGCGGTGGATGCTTTTTCATAATCGAGTTTTGGAGCAAAATTCTCCTGCTGCTGCTCCGGTTTCTTATTTTGGGACCGGGATACGGCCGTTCTCAGAGCTCCCTTAGCCAGGTGTCCTTCCCTTTCCTCGAGCTGTCCTTCTCGCCGCGTTTCGGCAGCGCTCTCCCCCCCCCCCTCCCCCCCCTCCCCAGCCCCAGCCGGGACCGGCCGCCTCGTGCTGAATGTGCTGCGGCAGCGTGGAAAACTGCAGACCTGAGCACTTTGGTAAAGCGATGGAGATGATGAATGGCGAGGCTGGGGGGAACGGTGAAGAGATAAACGCCCGACCTTCGGGTTTCAGGTTAGATGAGAGGAAGAAACCGGAATTTCTCCGTCTTTTTTTTTTTTTTAGGCAGGCTGGGGACACTGGGATCTGTGCTTTGTCCTTTGCATCTACCTTTTGCATCTACCCGCCACTTTTAAGGGCTTCTTCCGATACGACATTACCGGTTCCTGAGAAGAATTACTTATTTTTGTGCTCACTGATCCCTTATGTCAAGATTGTTGCTCCCAAACTGGTCCGTGGCAGGGGTGAGAGGTATCTTTTCCCAGTAAAACCTACCGGACCTAGCCGTGGGGAGACGAGCTGTGTTCTAGATGATGTTGTGAGCTGCGTACGGCCCCTCTGTTGCTGCTTCCTGCCCGCCCCATAGAACGCCGCGAGTGCTGGACATCCTACGGAGCTGCCGCCTCTAGTTTTTCGTAGAAGAGGTTGGTGCTGCGGAGCCTGCGATGCTGCTGGGGGGAGCTGCTCCTCCAAAAAATGCCTGGCCTGAAATTTTTACTGGACGCTTCCAGTTTGGCTGCGCTTTCTCCTCAATACGAGGGATTTCTATGGATGCAGGGTGTTTTCCAAGTCTCTCCACCGCCTTTCTGGCTCTGGGTGACGACAGTGCCTGTGCACGTCAGCGCTGTCACACACCTCCCCGCGGGCGTGAGCCCGGGTCTGCCTCCTGATGGGCTCTGTCCTAAACTGAGCCCTTCTTTTCCCGTTCTGGTGCTCCTGGTGAAGCTCTGTGCTCTTGTTGAAGCACTGACAAACCTGTAGGTAGAAAGGGAGACGTAGCGGGGGGCGTAGGCAGCGCTTTGGCAGTTTTGGGGGGATGAACTGCATTTTGCTCCGAGGGGGTGTCTGTTTGCAGCGCAGAGATCGAGAGACCGGTCTGACTCGAGGCGTGCGCTAACCTATTTAGACGTCTGTAAACAGGTTAGAGGACCTGCTTGCCCCGGGTTGCCCATCTCCAGTTTCGTTGTTTGCCGCTCGAGCTCAATGCGTACGGCGTGTCGGGTGGCAGGATGGCGGGGGGGACGGGACACCCTGTCGGTGTAGCTCGACCCTGGGTCTAGCTTGGCAGTAATTTGAATTTGGGGTGTTTGAAGCAGCCGGCAAGAACGTTGGAGCTGCTCCCGCGCCTGCTCTGAAATGGGATCCTTGACAGCCGTGGGGCTGGCGGAGGCCTTCAGCGCCCTCATCGCTGTT